GTGACAAAATGAGAGGTGAATAATGAGGTCGATATTCAAAAATCGGCCGAGGTACGGACACTTCTTCCACGTTACAAAGAGGATGATGTTTTAACGACCGACCAGTCAGGTCTCGAACTTGAGGTAGATTTCCAGTCACACCCTCAGCCATCATGGCGAGAAAACGACGCTTTCAACTGTTCGGTCTAAAAATGCCACTACTCACAGTTATACTGTGCAACCGATGATCAGCTTGAGTGGTGAAGTAGTTGGACCAGTTCTTCTGTCTCAAAAAACCAAAAGGTCGAATGAGCGACAACATCAAAGATAATCTTTTCAAAGCCAATAATATCGTGGTAACATACAGTGCTTCGGGCAAACTCACGACCTCGTTGGTTGAGTGGCGTGACAACGCTCTCATTTCCTCGATTGCCCGTTCATCTCGTATTCTTCTGCACTCGGACAGTTGGTCTGGTCAAAGAGATGGGAAGGGTATTTATGAAAAAGTAAAGGGTTGTAAACGAATGGAAATTTCACCAAAAACAACGGCCACAAATTCAGCCTCTTGACGTTTTCTTCAATCATGAGTATAAGGTCATTGCTCACCGTATTTACGATCGAGTCATCCTCGACGATATTGACATCCAAATGGCTCAACGGAACAACCTCATCAGACTTCATTTGCTCATCCATAATCAAATCTCTGCTCCCAGCTTTGAGCTTATGATACGTTACGCATGGTATACGAGTGGTTACGTAGTCAATCATCAAGGTCAATTTCAGACAGTAACAGACGTTTGCTTCAAGTTTAAACAACCGCATTGTGACACTTTGTCTTGCGACTCGTTCTCGTTCATACGCTGCAGCTATTGCAGCAGAATCCTATGTTTCGATCATTTCTTCCTCGAATATCGCATGTTACTGTAATAAGAGTAAACACACTGTACACATGTACACATACTGTATTTAGTTGATGACTATCTCTTTAGATGCTCAAAATATCAGCTTTATAAACATTTCCGTCTCGGAGCAAACTCAAACGCAATAACACCAAATTTTAAAGAATTTTCGAAAATTGTCGAAGCCATTGAACGACAGACCTCAAACTTTTAGCAAAATACGGTCACTATAACCAGCGACCACAGTAAAAATATCACACTCATCGGACGTTGTTGAGTGAGAAATCAAAGATTCAGGAGCAAAATTGTGTTTTTCGATAAAAACTTGAAATAGTCATAACTTCCCCACAAAGCATTAAGGGCACGAACCAACTTAGGGTATTTCACTACTCACTAAGGTCTATAAGATAAAAGTAGTCCGAATCCAAAAGCTTTTTATCACCTCAAGAGGTTCCCTCGTAAGTAGTTTTCGGAAAGACTATTAGAGACAAGTTTATGCTGCTTTAGATGATGGTTTAATGCAGAAAAATCGACTCTTAGTCCACAAAACAGTGCATTAATTCTCCGATTCAGCTGACAGGGTAATTTGTTTGCAGAAGGTAACAAGTGGTTTTTAACTTCCATGCGGAATTTATAAGATTTCAATATATTTTGAAAGTCAGGTCTTTGTGCAAGTAGCTCGGTCCACTCTTTAATAGTAGTTGGAGAAGAAGAATTCTGGAAGAAAACACTCTTATCTCTATAATCATACAGTTGCTGGCTGTTGTTGTCTCTTAAGGAATATTTCGTGTTCTTTGGTTCGATAAACTTAAAGTATTGATTGGGTGTCCTAATTAGTCCAAAGTAATATTTAAAAAACATGCACATTTTATTCACAAAGAACAAATCAGAAAATGATAACCAGCCTTGATCCTTGAGCAATTGAATTGAATTTATTTGAGCAAATTGAATTTTATCTTCGAAGTATCTTTCATAGCCCCACTCACAATCAAACATAGTTGATACTGACAACTCTAGAGTCTCGAAATATTTCTCTGTGTAGTTAACGAGTAGACCTCACGTCCGTAGTACTACTGGTTGGGCACAAGATTTATATACGCAATTGAGCGCAGTACGATTGAGTTTCCATTTAACAAGGCGCACATAATTATGAATTGAATTAACTTTTCTGATAACGTAGTCCACATTTCAACAACTCCAGGAGAGATTAGAAGCAAAAAATAGTCCGAGGTGCTTATGGAGCGTCACTTCCTTAACAGGTCGTTGTTGGATTATTAGAGGAGGAAAAGAATTCGAAGTAATTTTTTGTTTTAAGAATCGTTGAGCCTCACATTTATCAATATTTAAATAAATTTGCCATATTATACACCCCTGTATTATCTTTTCAAGATCTCTATTTAATATATCTGTAGTGTGTTGAAGAGTTGAGCCATAGTGAAAAAGAGAGGCATCGTCAGCATAAAGTTTACAGAAAGACTCGAGATTGTGCGATAAGTCACCGATATAAACAAGAAAAAGCAGTGGACCCAGGATGGAGCCGGGACGAACACCGCAATTTATCTCTTAGACATCAGAAGCACAACCATCTATTACTGTCCTAATCTTTCGGCCCTGTAAGAAATTCTCTAGCCAACTTACAACCTGTTCACTGACACTTTTTTATCGAAGTTTAAAAATAAGACCTGTGTGCCACACCGAATCAAATGATCGAGAAAAGTCAGGAAAAATTGTCCGCACAAAACCAACCTCTTCCAAACCTTCATGAGTGTAATGTATTAGACTAAGTAATTGGTTTATGTACTGTGTGCTTGGAGTTGCTACTTCATAGTTATATATAAGTCTTGTGCTCGCCTTATTCTTTTTGGATTTTGTCAACAGACGGATTGCAGAATAATCACAATATTTAATTTTCGCTTCTATAAGTAGCTGTATTGTCGATGTCGTTCCCAATGACCATAATGGTGATCGACCAGTAAATTGATCCTAGATCCTGTAAACTTGGATGAAGACAGATTTCGTACATATCATTCGACGCACCGTGAGCTGCTCTACAAAACTGCATATTTCCTTTCTTGGCTTAAGGGGGGGAGGAGGGCACCAAATTCGACAGGGTCCTTTCTTAAAACTGAACCTTCAACTGTTGTTGGTTTTGTAGGCACATCCCACCACTCAGCACAGTGTGCATTGAGATCACCTGTGATAACAGTTGAGTCAAATTTTTGTTTCTAGAAGCAAGTATCAAGAGCATTTTTTCGATGTTGGCTAGAAACTCGTCAATTATAGCAATAATCAGAGCGATAACAGAATAAAAGAAGATAACGTTGTTTGGCTGATATTGCCAAAGGGAAAAGCATCAAACTGGTCAAGACGCTTTACGCTTATGTCCATGCGTGCATAAAGCATGCAGCCATCAGACTATACACGTTGTGTATAGAGATATCCAAAGTACTGTGTACTTCTAAACAATATATGTTAGTTGACATCATCGATAAGAGACGCAACAGAAGGCGTTCTCTCCGCCACATAGATCATCATGATCGTACAAAATTCAACTGCTGTAGACAAAAGAAGAGAAAGAAAGAGATAAAGAACAAAAAAAGAAAAACATGCATATATGCATGTTTTTCTCCGTGTATACACGGATGTATACGCGGATGTCGTAGAAGCCATGCTTTTCACAAGAGTAAAAAAAACAGAAAAAGAAAATAGTGGTCGATCGAGAAGCATGGTTGTGGTTGTCCCACACAACTACGCTAGTACAAAAGCACAAGAGCACAAACTAATCTTCTCACGTGTCATAGTCAATGGATTAGTCTATCTTGAGTATAGCAATATTGGCAACTTTAGGGGATTGTTTTTACATTTTCACCTGATTTTATAGATTTTCCCATTTCTTGTAAATACGTTCTTCGAGCCCAGATGATTTTTTGCTTTAATCAGCATGTCCAAATTCAATTTTATTAAATCTTCTGATATGAACACAGGATTGCTACTACCTAGTGATGAGCGTCCGTACAAAAAAGAATTTCGCTCAGATCGAGAACAAAATTTAACGATAAATCGCCTTGGTTTACACTTTTAGCTTGTCCAGTACAATGACAGACAGATATTGAATGTGAATGCAATTCGACTTTCATGTGTGTAGCTAAATTCATGACAATATGGAGCGCATTTTCATCTTGTGTTTCGGAAACATTATAAATTCGTAAATTATCAAGGCGCCCATACTGTTCCAGATGATTTGATTTATCTTTCAATACCTTCACATTGTTTTCAAGTTTAGAGACGGATAAATTTTGATCAGTTAGACTTGCTTCTATTAGCGGTTTGTGAAAACGGTGCGGGCCCGTTGTGATGCTTATAACTTTTTAACGAAAAGAGCTAGATACCTCGGATTTTCACCACTCGAAAGAGCACACAAACTTATGTAAAAATCAGAGTTTTCCGAGAATTTTTCTAGTCTAACTTTTTCAGACGAAACTTGGAAAAATTAATCTGTTTTCGGAAAAAAATTTTTTTTTCTTTTTTGTGCCAGGTTTGTAGAGCTCGTCATCCGCTTTCGAATGGTATCTAAGCAACTCCCAAAATTTTTCTTCCTTGCCAAGGTATGAGCGTTGTAAAAAGATGGTCCACTTTTCCCGAAATTCGAGTTTTTAGTCGTAAAAAGTGTCAGTATAGATATTCGAGTGCGCTGATCATCATACTGATGTCACTTTTCTGTTTGGAAGCGAAAAAAATGAGGTAACGGAGTTCTTTGAAAAAGTGAGCTTTCTAAGCGAAAAGGCAAAATATGCGGTACTATTGTATATTATTTGTAATAAGAGAGACAAAACACGTGGATTTACGTAGTGTGTAGGTGAAGAAAAAAATCATTTTAATATATATTAACGGACGTATATCGCACGAAACGAAAAACAAAATGCTCAGTTACTCCTTGCTGTTTACTCAACAACGAAAAATCAAACTGGAAATGAATTACTAGAGCAAAGAAAAATGAGAACATGCGACTCGAACAAATATTTGTATTTCTCTCATCTTGAATATTCCATTTCTATTATACGATATTTGTTTTCACTAGTTAGGTGTGACAAATAGAGGTATGATTTTTAAAGTAAAGAATATTTAATATCTGTCAAATGCTAACTTAAGTCGATTTATTCCTTCACTTATCCATGAATCCTTCAATGAAAATATAATTCGAAACCAACCAGGCTCCGAACAGCCCAAATCAAAACCTCTTGAGATAAAAACACCATTATCAAATAGAACATTAAATAGTTTCATTTCTTCGTCAAATGTTTTCACTTTTAAAAGACGACGAAAATTAGCCCAAATATAAAAACCAGATTTTGATTGATAAACTTCGATACGTTGATTACTGATCACTTCTAATTGCTCTTTAACATAAAAGAATTTTTGAGTTAGTCTTTGTTGATTAATTTTCAAATATTCTTTAACCCATTCATTATCAGATAACAGAGTAGTGATAGTTTCTTGAACAAATTTTGATGGTACCATGAGAAAGTTGATTTTTTGTGCAATCATACACATTTCAGCAGTGCCAGAATACAGTACACCAATTCGAATTCCTGGCAATGAAAAATCTTTGCTAAATGACCATAGAAAATGTGTCCGTTCAGGATCTGGCAGTGATTTATAATTTAAAACCGATTGAAAGTGTGCTTGTGTTGGTAATTTGAACACACTTAAGGCATAAACTTCATCCACGATTACATGTAACTTCTTTTCACAAGCAAATTCTAATATTGATCTCAATGTTTCTTCCTCATAAATATCACCAAGTGGATTCTGAGGATTAACCAGAATGATAGCTTTGGGTTTTAATCCACGTTCAATTGTCGATAAATAACCCTGACGATAAACATCAACTGTCAATCGGAATAAACCCTTATCTTGATCTAGTAACGGACATCGAACAACTGTATTTTGTGTTAAAACAGCGACGTTATGATCGATAGTTGTGTAGTATGGTGATGAAATAAGAAACACATCTCCAATATCTCCAAGCATATAACTGTAAACACTAAAAGCCCCTGCTGCTCCGTTGGTAATCAACATCCGTTCAGGTTTTAATTCAACACGGTTTAACTGGAAAACGTTTTGAAAAAACTTACATAATTCAGTTCGTAAATTGTATTCTCCACACGGATTTGGATAATAATTATATTCGGGTGCCCATGTTTGTATAGATTTTAACTTTTCAACTAAAATATTTTCACACAATACATTTTCAGCTACAGCCAAATTTAATATACCATTTGGATTAATAATTTCATCAAAAGGATTCAGTTTTAGTTTAACAAAATATGGAATAATATATGCTAAACTTTCGGATAACAGTTTACCTCTTGTTGATAATGTTTCCATTTGCTAAACAGTGAAGTGAAAATACTATTACGTCTCACTATTCTAAGGCATACGATACAAATGCAAATCACTACATAACTTTAAAAGTCTGAAAAATAACATAAAGAAAACTATTTATTGACTGGGTCAATTCGAAATGTTTCTTATTCATACATCGCTCTTTCCTTCAAGCTTGTCTCTGTTCTTTTTTAATGTTGAGAGTAATTTTATGACGGCGATTGGTACTTAATAAAAATATTAAGATGTCATATATGACTGTGTTGATCTTGAGTAACTTCTCTTCAGCACGCCACGTATGCTGATGGAAAACTGAAGATTCTTTTGTAAATAGCCTATTACTAAATGAAAGAAATATCAAAATGAAAATTTATACAAGAAAACCATCTTCAGACGAAAGCACTTTTTTTTCGTACAAAATTGTAAGCGAGTGGACTTTTACTAAATAGTTAACGCCTTGTCCACGTACGCGACACTCCGCTGATCAAGTTTTATTTTTATTTTTTTCATCGAGAAATCGATAGGAGCCCATCACTAGACGCAGTTTTTCATGCTAATTACAAATTCGCCCATTATTTTGAAAAAACCGGAATCTTCAATTAAGAAATTTTAATTTAAAATTTTTGAAAACTTTATTTTTAATTTTTCGATCTAGAGATTTTGGTAAAAATTTTTTAAAAATATACTGTTGAATAGAGAATTCAATTTTCTACAAAATGCATCATTTTGTTTCGAGAAATATTTCTCAGTCGAGGCACAAGGGCTGCTTGCAACTTTGAACTTTCGAGTCGATTTAAAAGCCTGAGGCAACTCTTGGAACTATATTTGCAAGTGAAGTATCTTCAGGAAGGCTAAAAGTACTCAAGCTATAAGTATGAAGTTGTTTGAACAATGTTGAGTGTCCTAAAATGATATGACAAAAAAATATGTAACAGCGTTACGTTTGTTTTTTGCCCTTTTTAGGCGAGTAAAAATAGTTAGAAGAAAACTTCTTTTACCGCTGAAAAGCTCGTTCGATGCTCTACAAAATTTGCTCTAGGGGCATTTTATTTGGAGAACGGCTTTCGCAGGAAACTAGAACTTTGGCAAGAGCTCTCGTAATTTAGGGGCATTTTATGAAACAGCGTTACGCGATGAAAAAGCCTTTCTCGAAGCTCGAGACATCAACCAAAAAACTTCGTTCTTATAGCATAAATAGAGTATGATGACCTGCGTCGAATGGCGTTTGAACGAACTTTCTAGCTCTCAAACTTTCCGAGATAATTGAAAAATGTGTGTCGAAAACGTAAGAGCTTTACGGTTGGACTAGCCGTTAAGTTTGTCAGATTTAATAGGTTAAAGTTATCTAAGCCTTTTGTATACGTGCTCGATTGACATCAATGATTCGAACGTAAACCAAGTTGACGTAAACGCTTACGTCGTCCTGTTGTTTGCTAATTTTGATCCCTAACGCTAGTTTTAATGCTTATTCTGAGCAGTTAATTAATTTTTTGACCTTTGGATTGAAATGCGGCTGCTTAAGTTCACCCTATAACGAAATATACTTTCTCCTCTCACTGTCACTTACTATCAGTCATTCGTCTCTAACCGTAATTCATTGTTCTCATCGTTCATTGTGTCTCACTCTCTCTTTGGTCATTGTACCGTATATACATATAACAGATTTAACCAAATGCTTTTCTCTAGATACCTTAGAATGTTATCACTGTTTTGATTAGAGTTTGTTCTGCGTATATATTCTGAACATGTACGCAGGGCATTAGAAAAGTTCCCGGACTGATTTTATTTTAGGAAAACGAAAAGCGTTGTAATGCAGAGCTTGTTACCTCTCTGTAGTTCATATAATCCTTAATCTATAGACATGACGGGTTCTGGTGGATTAGACATTTATGTGTTATAATAACAATTTATTTTAGATCATATTGTAACCAGTGGTTCAGATTAAATGGAAGTCAGTATTTTGTTGATAACGTTTTTTCCTTTCATTCCCAAGACTCAGTCTTTGTTGCAAAAGATGTGCCTTGGACTTCCCAATAAAAAAGCATATTGAACATTTTGCATTTGGATATAATAAGCATATCATTTTGTTTCAAAATGAAACGGGTCCCGATCCAAAATGTTTCATTTGGGAAAAT